CCGAATTTAATCAAAACTGCTGATCCCTTTTGACACGTAACAGTCAGAGGTTCTGGGGATTAGAAAGGGCATCACTGGGCACTGTTATTCTGCCTATGACAGGTAGGTTCAGGCACACTCAGTTTCTAAAAAGTTTATAGAAGCTGCTCTGGTGCACTCTTTTTTTAAAAAAAATGAGCATTGTGATCTTTTGATTCAGCAGGTCTACTAGTATTTGGGTTGGAAACATTTATTGACTGACATAAAGAAAGGAAAAACTGCTGGTTAGTGACAAAAGAGGACGTTGATGTAAAAAAAGGCATACTTTTAGAATGAGTTAGTAGTATAAGATACTTATCATAATTAAAAGTTTTTTTTTTGTTTTTTTTAAAATATATTTTATTAATTTTTTACAGAGAGGAAGGAAGAGAGATAGAGAGTTAGAAACATCGATGAGAGAGAAACATCGATCAGCTGCCTCCTGCACATCTCCCACTGGGGATGTGCCCGCAACCCAGGTACATGCCCTTGAAAGAGGATGTTGATGTAAAAAAAAGGCATACTTTTAGAATGAGTTAGTAGTATAAGATACTAATCATAATTAAAAGTTTTTATTAAGTGTGCGCGTCACTTTGCTGGAGGCTGTGCTAGTCTTAGGCAAAACCCCACAACTCATCTCATGAATAAACTTCTAATATTATATTAGAAGCATATCCTTCTGATAAGGTATTCTTTTGATAGCTTAGTGTGGGCTTCATCATAACAAAATACTGGCTCTTGTTTCAGGGTCTTTAACTTTAAAAGAATTTGGAGATTTTTGAGGAAATTTTAAATGATAATAGCTAATACTTCTTGAAAACCTATTCTGTGTCCAAGCATTATTTTAAATGTTTTACAGTCACTGTATCATTTATTCTTGCAAAATAGGTAGTTGCATTCCTAGGAGTCAGGACTCTCAATTGTAAGTGACCAAAAAAAGAAAACTGGGAGAATATTTTGGCTTATGTATCCAAACTTCCAGAGCTAACTTCATAGAAAATTGGAAACTTGCGACTTGAATGATATCAGGACACTCTTTCCTCTTCTTTCCTGCTTGTGTTTGTGGGTTGATTTAATTCTTGCTAGAGAATCTGAACCTAGATTGTAAATTATGTCTGTAGAGGTAGATTTCCAGTAACAGATGCATAATAGGTTTTTGGTTGATATGTACTGAATAAATGATCTACTTTTCTGCAGAATAGGGTGAGGCAGGGAGAGGTGCTGCCCAGCCTTATTACTCATTGTTTAAAGCAGCGGTTCTCAACCTGTGGGTCGCGACCCCTTTGGTGGTTGAACGACCCTTTCACAGAGGTCGCCTAAGACCATCCTGCATATCAGATATTTACATTACGATTCATAACAGTAGCAACATTACAGTTATGAAGTAGCAACGAAAATAATTTTATGGTTGAGTCACAACATGAGGAACTGTATTTAAAGGGCCAGAAGGTTGAGAACCACTGGTTTAGAGAACAATGGCAATGGATCTTTCTCACCAGTTCCATTTTAATGAATCCTGGTGAAGGACTCTGGTTACTTTAGGCAATCTCTATTACTAGGGGATTTAAAATTTTTTATTTTATTTTAATTTTTAAAATTAAATCTTTATTGTTGAAAGTATTACAAATGTCCCCCACCCCCCCAACCCCCCATTGATCCTTTCTAGCCTGCCCAGCTCCAGGCCTTCACCTCCTATTGTCTGTGTCCATGGGTTATGCATATATGCATACAAGTTCTTTGGTTAATCTTATCCCATCCACCCACCTACCCTCCCACGCCTTTCCTCTGAGATTTTTGATTGGCAGCTTCCACAAGAACCACATGGTTTGAAGGAGCCCTTTCCAGAACAAGAGGTGCTGCTCTGTGTAAAGAACACAAAGAGCCTCAGTAAAGTTCATCTTACAGATGTAGAAATAGACAGGCTCCAAAAGGATAGACAGATTGACCAAGGTTACCGGTAGGAACTGGTAAAGTCTAGATTCAAGCCTGATTTTAATTGACTCTTTGACTTGTGTTCTTTTCACTTTGCTACCACATCACATCAATCACCGGAGCTCAGTGAGGTGGAGGTTGGAAATGAAGTAGGGTAACATGGCAGGACGATGTTCTTTTATTGGTGTTCAGAGATGCTGACTGAGCAGTTCTGTGAGCCTCTAATTCCAGATAGGAGATATAAAAAGAGCTAGAAAAAAAGTTGTTTTCTTTTCTCCGTTATTTTAGAAAGACAAATGCAAAGAATGAAACATTGTAGGTTATTGATAATTTATATAAAAGCTTTCTTTTTTTCTCTATGGTCTTTTCTACTATTTAAGTGCGTGTTTCTATAATAATAAAAGCGTAATATGCTAATTAGACCAGACAGCTGAATGACCTTCCGATGTCATTCTGGACGTCCTTCCAGATGAAGCTGTGGCGGTGGGGGTTGGGGTCGAGGCAGAGGCGGTTAGGGGTGATCAGGCAGGCAGGCAGAATGGTTAGGGGCGATCAGGGAGGCAAGTGAGCAGTTAGGGGCAATCAGGGAGGCAAGTGAGCAGTTAGGGGCAATCAGTCAGGCAGGCGAGTGGTTGGGGCAATCAGGCAGGTAGGTGAGTGGTTAGAGGTGATCAGGCAGTCAGGCAAGTGGTTAGGGGCGATCAGGCAGGCAGAGTGGTTAGGGGTGATCAGGCAGGCTGGTGAGTGGTTAGGGGCAATCAGGCAAGCAGGCGAGCGGTAGGGGCGATCAGGCAGGCAGTCAGGTGAGCAGTTAGGGGCAATCAGGCAGGCAGGCAGAGTGGTTAGGGGTGATCAGGCAGGCAGGCAGAGGCAGTTAGGGGTGATCAGGCAGGCAGGTGAGTGGTTAGGGGCGATCAAGCAGGCAGGCGAGTGGTTAGGGGCGATCAGGCAGGCAGGCGAGCGATTAAGAGCCAGAGGTCCTGGATTGCGAGAGGGTGCAGGCCGAGCTGAGGGACTCCCATCCCCCCTGTGTACGAATTTTGTGCACTGGGCCTCTAGTATACACATATGAATAAATCTCAGTAACTTTCCTGAGGAATCACTGAATATAAATTTAATTGTGCATGTTTGCAAACATTCTTTGACTAATTGTAATAATTTTTGCTAAGTGGTACAAACAAGAGTGAACTTTAAGAAGTAACTTTTCATGAGCTAGCTCAGTTTTCTTTGAAGAAAGGCATATAATATTGCTAATATTGCTACCATATTTGGTTCATTGCAAAAGAAGCAGTACATTTAGTAACTGAGATTGGAAGGATACTTTCTAATGTTGCCAGATACAGAGTACCCTCAATTATGTCTTTTAGGAATATATTTAATAGCATGTGTTTTATAAAAGCCTTAGAGTCTATCTTCTGTGGCATGTGAAAGAAATTAGTCTGTATTTGATAATATGCCAAATGTACTAGCTAGAAAAAATTGGTTTCAGCCCTTAAAAAAACAGTCTTCATGAGTCATACACATCGTAGATATTAATTTTTTTAGTGTGACAAAACTGAAACACTGAAGGAAGTGAAATTAATTGTAAGTATGGGAACATGGGGAATTAATGGTGATGGAAAAATAAAATAAAGAAAATAAAAAATGAGCCTAATTAAACAAAAAAATGAGCCCAGTTAGATAACATTTTGTATTTTGGGCATGTATGTTATGTATTTAAAAAACAACAACATGCTCTATTCCCTTTAAAAAATTAGCTCTTTCAATGGCTCAGTGGTTGTCAGCTCTTTTTTTTTTTCTTTTGCCTTTACTTCACTAACGTGAAGGCAAGAGTAAGAGTAAGAGGAGTTTGGTGGGGAGAGTTATTTTTATTATCATTATTACTATGGCATTGTTTCTGTTTTCATATTTTTATTTCTTTATTCTAAGCAGGTAGAGCTAAGTGATGGATTTTTAAAAGTTTGGTCAATTGGAGTCTAATTATAACATAAACTAAAAACATTTAAAAGTAAATTTAATCTCTACACCTATAATTACTTTTTCCTGGCTATATTTTTAGTTTTCTAGAAATTTTGCAGATAATTGCGTGCTAGACAATTTTGTGAATAAACAAAATTATCTGTTTCTTTTTAAAAATACATATTTTTATTGATTTTAGAGAGGGAGAGAGAGATAGAAACATCAGTGATGAGCAAGAATCATTGATTGGCTGCCTCCTGCACGCCCCCTACTGGGGATTAAGCCTGCAACCCAGGCATGTGCCCTGTCTGGGAATTGAACCGTGACCTCCTGGTTCATAGGTTGACACTCAACCACTGAGCCACGCCAGCCTGGCCATCTGTTTCTTTTTGATATAGCATTGTATTATTTAGTGCTGTGAAATCTACAAAAAGAAGTGCACACATTTTTTTTTTAAAGTATTTCAGTTTTCCCTGAAAATGTCCATGTTTCTGTATGACTGGCTTTCTTTCTAGAAATCTCTAGTTGGTTGTGGAATTATTTTATTTCAGCAAAATTGTTACCTACCCTGATAGATCTTAACCCTTTGATTTACTAGTATCATATTAAGTGACTAGCTATTCATTTTGGGCTCTTTGTGTCTACCCAAGGCTCCCTGAGGGATCTGTGGCCCTGTATAGATGCCAGTGAAAAACTTGGTCTATATGCTTATCTACAGAGGAATTGGAGATCTACTCTGAGGTTTAAGAATGTGATGAAAAGGTTAATTGTAGCTTTTGGCACCAGTTTGTCCTTATGCTCTTAGGAACATAAATCTAATTAATACCAGGTCTGGTGACTGCATTTATCCCAAGTCTGTCACTATCACCAGACTTATGACTTCAGGTGGTGGGTCCCTTCCTAGACTCCTGAGTTAGATGTTCTTCCTTTATGCTCCCATAGAAACCCAGCTCCATATCATACCTCATATCCCAGTTTTGATTTCCCTTTCCTATAATCAGATGATTAAGTTTCCCAAAAGTCTGACCAAGTAAGTCTTCAGAATGTCCAGTTGAGGAAATCTAAACAACATATTATTTTCTTTTTTGAAGAGATCATCATTCAGGTCATCATGATTTAAGGCCAAAAAAACAAACAAACAATAACTTGCTTGGATTGACTGAATACAATTCTTAAAAGTAAATATGGAAAATGAACCGGACCATGAAAATGTGGAACAGAGCCTCTGTGCCAAGACTACTGAAGAAGAACTGAATAAATCTTTCAATCTAGAAGCTTCACTTTCAAAATTCTCCTACATAGATCTGGACAAGGAACTGGAGTTCAAAAATGATCTGGTAAAATTCGACTTTTGTTAAGTGATGAATTCGACAGGAATGTTCATTAGACTACTTTATAATCAAAGACTTTAAATCTATCATTTTTTGCATGGATTAATAAGAGTGTGTACAGTTTTATGAGATACTATCACTCTTCATTTGTATAGTTCATTTTAGTTTATGAAATACTTTATTACATGTTCTCATTTGAGCTTTACAATACTCTGACAATTCATTTTATAAAAGAAGAAACTGAAGTGCCACTATATTAAATGACTTAAGATCATAGAGCTAGTGGTAGGTTTAGAATTCTTACATAGTAATTCCCCCCCCCCATGAGAATATTTAATGACAAATTGTTTGACCTAATTAATCTCACCATCATTTATGAAATGACTAACAAATGCAATGTCAGACCTTTGTATATATAGCTTATATGACTTATGTCTCAACTTAGAAAATTAGGGATTGTCATAAAACATGCTGTTTTGTCATTATCTAAGAAAGCAGATGCCAAAGTCCTTCAACAGAAGCTTTCTGGAAAGGGCTGTCAGGATGGTGTAGTCAGTGCATATTTGTCTTTATAATCACTGATAGGTGGATGGGAAAGGAAACAATTCTGTAGTCTTTTGACCTGATCCTTATTACCATGGATTTTTATTGAGTTGCTTTCTGTGTGATCAGTTTGGTAGTATGTGTGTCTCTTAATGAATGGTTCAAAATTAATTAAAACACATGTTTGTAAGAGGGAAAGCATCATTGTGTGAGCATTAATTTCTTTTCTCTATTTAGATTGATGACAAGGAGTTTGATATTCCTCAAGTTGATACTCCTCCAACATTGGAAAGCATACTAAATGAGGTAAGTATATATTAGTGATCATTTTATGGTATTGATTATAATACTACTAGATTAGTTATAGTATACTAGTATATATCAATATCTGTACTGTCCAATGTGGGAACCACTAGCCACATGTGGCATTTTAAATTTACATTAATTACAGTTAAAAAAGAATTAAAAATTCAATTCCTCAGTTGTACCAGACACATTTCAAGTGCTCAGTACTCCACATGTAGCTAGTGGCTACTATAGTGAACAGCAGAGATGCAAACTATTTCTATTTTTGCAGAAAGTTCTGTTGGACAGTGCTGATCTAGATTGTGAGCTTTTTAAGGGCAGAAGCCATGTCTTGGTCATCTTTGTGCCCAGTACAATGCCTCCTACTTGGTAGATTTAAAAAAAATGTTTTATTAAGTGAGTTGAAATACTAAACTCATGTCACTTTTGAGATTTGTATTATGTTTTGATAACATCGCTACCAGTGATATTCAAATAGCTCATCCTCTGATACTAAAGAGCATCTGCAGCCTTGCAATGTGCCTCATCATCCTTCTATATAAAGAAAAAACAACCTCCATAATTTATCTTATGAGTACTATCTCTATTAAAAAGTTTCTCAGACTTTTGAAATGATGTTACCCTTTTCTGAATTAGCGATATAAAGACTTTGTAAAGGAACTTTGTGGAAGTACATGTTTGTGAAATATACCCTGCATCTGCTGACAATTCTTCAACTCAGTCTTCTTGATCTTTTACAAACTTGCCTAAGACTTCCCTTGAAGGTTTTAGCTTCTATTTTTTAATGTATAAATCTATTTCAGATCCTTGGTTGTGTTTTCTAAAAGATAATGATGCAAAGTTTCCCCAACAGAAATGCCCACTGATCCCACAGCTCTGAGTGAGTTGGGCCTTGGTCTTTATTACTTCTTTCTGTATACTACTTTTAGGGTAATAGCCAACACTTTATTATAGGACGGGAACTACTTTCTTTGTGAATTGTATCTTTCATTTTTCTCACATGACTTTTATTTTTATTTTTATATTAGTTGATATTGCTGTTACTTTAAAAAAAACCTCTTTATTGTTGAGAGCATTACAAATGTCCCCCCCATTGCACCGCCCCCCCCCCCCCCCATTTAATCACACCACCTAAAATACCCCCCGGAGCCAGGGGTTTAACCACCAAGATAATTTCTTGGGGCGAGGAGGAAATGCTGACTGCAAAAAATGTCAGTAGGACAGCCACCCCCAAGGCGCCCGGTGGCTGCGGTCAGACCAGGAAAAGTTCTTGTATGAGGATCGTTTTGGCAACCTAGAAGGTAATCGCATATGGGCTAAAATGATGAGAACGAGAACTAATTGTGTTGTGTCGAAGCGGGCCCCGAGGCGTGCAGTCAGTCGGCCATTTCATTAGGGCAATCAGCGTCGAAGAACCAGGATATTAGTAGATGGTAGTAGCGACTCATCAGAGAGAAGATACACGTTAGAGACAAATAGATATGTCGCTGTACAGCAACGAGAAAGACGAGTAGAGGGTAGTGAGTAAGAAGTAGACTGAGCTAGCCAGATCCGGAATTGCATGGTGGCGCAAACGGCCACAGCCAGAAATACGAGGGATGCGATTCCGTAAACATGAAACAATCGGGAATGGCC